ATGTTTTTACCGCTGTATTGATTATTGACTATTGATTTCCGTACTGCATTGACTACTGATTTGATTTCCGCTGTACAGACTTGATTTCATTGACTATGGATTTCCGCATTGCATAGACTCATTGACCATTGATTGACTTGATTTGATTGACCTGCATATTGATAGCATCGCCGTGCTTTGATTTCAGTTGTAGGGTTTGGTGACCTTCTGGGCTTTGTAAGCTCATTATATGTGGTTAAAATTTTCAGGTCCGAGCAAGGCAATTGGAATGGAGTTCGATCAGAATGTCAGACGAATCCTTTCACTATTGATTTCTGGGGCATCACAGACTTGGAATCATATTATAACGCAAAATAACTTATAAAATACTTGAATCTAAGTAAAATGAAATTGAATACCAACTTGGACTTGCAACAAATGACTACGAGGACTCAGAATTGAATCAATTGTGAACTACAAGGAACCTTACTTGGACTTGAACTTGAACAACATAACGATGGACTATGCTTGGACTTAGACTCAAGCCGGAACTTGATTTGGACCAAAAGAAATTTGGACTTGATTTGGACATTAAATGAATGAAACTCAAGCCATAACTCAAACTCAAATCATTTCTAATAATCATAATGTGATCAAGTAAGAACTTGGACTTACTATTCACATGAAAATTCACCTTCAAGCAAATTACAAGAAGACTTGGGAATGATTATAGATCATAATGAGCAATCTAATGATAGTTTTCGATCAAATATAAAAAAGATTGCAATTTGCATACAGTCGAAGGTGCACAACTGTAAATAAATACATTATAGTAGAATGCCATATGCATGCTATATGAATACACTACATGTTGAGTGAGTGTATTAAACTGGTGCATTATATAAAGTCAGCTTACAAGTATAACTTTTCTACGATTAATAAAAGGGTTACAAAAGATATGATTCAATTGTTAGCCATGATGCGAAATTTATAAATCACAATAATTAACTTGCAATGACAGTGGACATATCAGTTTCCTACGGACACTAAAGATCAATATGCAGTGAATACATCAATTCACCTATATGCAACCTAACCTCTTGCAGACATATAGTGCAATATGAGATCTATTGTACACACAATGAGAAACCCATGGATAATAATCAGAAATGAGTAGTGAAAGTTGTGACACCTTTATAGTCAATACTGAGTGACATACAAATGAACAAACTAGTCTCCCTACGAGAATAAAACCGGTATGCAATGAATATAACAATATTCTATGGTCCATATCAAGGCAGTTTCTACTTGCTTTTCTTTTCTTTTTTTTTTTCTATTGCTTTCAATCACGTTTAATTTTCTAGAAAATGTTGCGCATGTTGCATCTTTAATTGATATATGAAATTTTTTGATAAATAATGTTAAATAACACAGCCATAGGCAAGCAAGTTAAATCACATGAATACAACTGGAATGTTGCCTACTTTGTACATAACATCTTCCTTGAAGTATTGTCATTAGCATTATAAAATTTTAGGCTATTTGCATAGCTTAGTTGAAGTTGATGGGTGTCCATGTGTAATAAATATCACCTCATCATTCGATTCATTCCATACACTTGAGTGGTTAAGATTTGTACTTTTGGAATACTAATCTACCTTTGGTTGCACTATTCTATATTAATTGAATCTCTTTGCTACATTTCTTATGAAATATTGGAGTAAAATAAAATATTGATTCCGTCATAATTTCCATTGGAAACGAAGAATGATAAGAAATTTTATATCACTGAATATTTGAAGACAACCATTTCTTACATGCCTTAAATATTATATAAGCTCTGTTGAAGTTGTGAGAACCTTAGCTTTGATAAAGGGCTTACTGGTAAGCACATTTGCTTTCTGATATATTTATTGCAGATATTTATATTTCTCTTGTTCATTGTGTTAATTCTTTAGGATGGCATTTCTTCAGGAGCTGCTGCTGCTGCTGTCGTTCATGTGGCAAGGAGGACAGAATATACAGGAAAGCTGGTTGCAGTAAGGGCCATCCATTTAAGTGGAATTGTAGCACCTTATAGATTTTGATTGATCATGCATTCCATTCCACAAACACATTTTTGCTATGTTTGAAAAGCATTTTGAGTTCTCTACATTTCTTTCTCCTTAACATAGAATAAGTGTATCATCCTGCTCAGTAGTAAATGATTAGCAAAATACTTACACATCTAACGTGTTCTCTTTTTGAGGATTGTATGAATTTAATACTAAATTCATACATATTTCATATATAAATAACATTTTGACAGTTTAAGCTTCTAAGTCCTAACCAATATTTTGATAGTTGCAATTCAGTAATTTCTAGATTCATTAAAATTGGGTGTGAAAATTTGTTTTGGATTTGTATAAGGAATGTTTCTTGGGGCAAAATTTGTATTGAGAGGTTCTTTGTGGCTTATGGTTTCATTACATGTATGTGGTGTGATGGAGGTGTGGAGGCATGGAGTGGGTGACAGAGAACTACATCATCCTAAAACTATCTGCTTAGTTATGTGAATGTAGACTCGAATTATTACCATCAAAACCACTTGGCCTAAAGGCTGACTTCTTTGTCGCCGCCTAAAGTAAGTCGGTCAATCGTTCTAAGTGCTTTGGTTCACTTTATGCTCCAGTCAACCCACTCTCAAAATTATTCTGTTAATTTTTTTTATTATTAATCTTTTAAATTTTATTAATGTGCTATCAAAAAAAAATTAACTTTCACGGATATCCTATTGTAAAAAAAAAAATTATTTATTAACTAATAAAAAGAATTTATTACCAAGATTATTCATGAATGAATAATAGAAAATTCATGTCGTAAATATTATTTATTTAATCATATAAAATTTATTATAATGATTATAATGATTTATAATAATAGTTTTTTCATTCTAATAATGATAATATAATTAAAACATTTATAATATAAATTTTTATTTTTAAAGTTTTAGTTACGTGCATTTAATGCACGGGTATTTTTACTAGTATATATAAGTGTGTGAGATAAAAAAAGGGAAATATTCAAAAAAAAAAAAAAAACTAGTCTTATGATTTTGTGCATTGTCATCGCCATCCAACCCGAAGGTATACATTTCTAACTCAAAAAATCCTGCCCTCGAGGCTTACGACGAGTCGACAAACTCATTACGCGCTCACGTAGCATAGTAGAGGTTCATCAAGAGCCTGAAGTATACTTGAACTCAAACACAAATTTGTGGACTGGGACTTGGACTCAAATTATAACGCAAAATTACTTATAAAATACTTGAATCTAAGTAAAATGAAATTGAATACCAACTTGGACTTGCAACAAATGACTACGAGGACTCAGAATTGAATCAATTGTGAACTACATGGGACCTTTACTTGGACTTGAACTTGAACAACCTAATGATGGACTATTCTTGGACTTAGACTCAAGCCAGAACTTGATTTCGACCAAAAGAAACTTGGACTTGATTTGGACATTAAATGAATGAAACTCAAGCTAGAACTCAAACTCAAATCATTTCTAATAGTCATAATGTGAACAAGTAAGAACTTGGACTTTCTATTCACATGAAAATTCACCTTCAAGCAAACTACAAGAAGACTTGGGAATGATTATAGATGATAAGAGGAAGCTAATGATAGTTTTCGATCAAATATAAAAAAGATTGCAATTTGCATACAGTCGAAGGTGCACAACTTTAAATAAATACATTATAGTAGAATGTCATGTGCTTGCTATATGAATACACTACATGTTGAGTGAGTGTATTAAACTGGTGCATTATATAAAGTCAGCTTGCAAGTATAACTTGTCTACGATTAATAAAAGGGTTACAAAAGATATGATTCAATTGTTAGCCATGATGCGAAATTTATAAATCACAATAATTAACTTGCAATGACAGTGGACATATCAGTTTCCTACGGACACTAAAGATCAATATGTAGTGAATGCATCAATTCACCTATATGCAACCTAGCCTCTTGCAGACATATAGTGCAATATGAGATGTATTGTACGCACAGTGAGAAACCCATGGATAATAATCAGAAATGAGTAGTGAATGTTGTGACACCTTTATAGTCAATACTGAGTAACATACAAATGAACATACTAGTCTCCCTACGAGAATAAAACAGGTATGCAATGAATATAACAATATTCATTGGTCCATATCAAGGCACAAGCAGATACACTCAACCCTGCAAGCAAAGAAATTGGAATTGATAGTAGTTTTTTGTAACGATCATACAAAGAAGACACAATTGCCTCCACTACATGTCATATACAAGCAAATACAGAGTGACATATAGTAAATACAAGCTCTGATGGGCCGGTATAGAAGACCCACCATACACACTATATGTCATCCACAAGCAGAAATGCAGAGAAGACTATAACGAGCATGTAGAAAAAATTCCAGAAAATGTAGTGTCCTGCTGCAGCCAGCATTGATTTTCATATGAACACAAGGACATTCGCAAACAAAATACACTGAGCTGTTGTAAGCAAAGGTAGAGGGCATGCAACAAGTGTGGACACCTACAGGCTGGTGTAGGAGACCTGTCACTTGCACAATATATGTTGTAGGAGACTTTCATGAGGTCAACACACCAACTACAAGCAAGTTTAAAAGACCTTCAACAAATGGAAAATTTTATGCTATTCAAATCATCTCAAGGGATGCAACAATTATTCTAGAAATGAATATCTTGTATATTTCTGCTACATGACCTGACATGCCTTCAATCACTACAACGTCCGCTTGAGGCAGTAACCATAGATTTCGACATATAGGACACTTCAACAAGAACACAATCATCCAAGGTTGAAATTATTGATTATTTATTTAATCTAACAACAGATAATGATGATGATGGCACATTGGGGAGTTGCTTATTGGTTCCCATATGAGTTCTGGGAAGGGAAAGCTAGGTCAAATTGTTATATAGTGAGTCTCGATTCAACCAGGTTCCGAACACTAGATTGAATGTGATTAATGAGGCTTGCAAGTTTCTTGATGAGCATTGATCTAACATCTGATGTTCCACCTATGCAGATGCTAAAGAGCTACGATAAGCGTAAGCTCCTATGGGTTACCGTAGGAGATCCGTCATATTCCTAAAGATGCCCCCGCACATGCACTGTAGTATGTATACACATAAGTACTTGAAAGGGGGTAAGTATAATCATACACCCGTATGGACCCTAGCGAGCGTGTTATTGGTACACATGTGACGTCTAAGGATGCTGTGCGGGTCGATAAGTGAATTCAAGTTCAAACCCAACCGTTCTATGTGAATCAATAGGAGTCGACAGGTTCAAACTATCAAATAAATATATGGTTGTGGCAACCGGTATATTTGTTTTAATGCATTCATATTAGGCCTTCAAGACCTATAAGCAAGAGAATTCACTAATAAATGCACAAAGCCTACGAGAAACTCGATCTTCGGTCAACATCTTGGTCAAGTTGATAAGGTTCAGTCCAAAAATAAAAAAGCCCCCAAACACCCCGATGATGGCCACATTGAATGTTTATCTCAACCGGAGGGGTGATTCAAACACTTTCAAATGTCACCCAAATACCCACGAAATTCAAAGTTCCCAAAAAACTAAAATTCTCAAAATCCAAAATATTTAAAATTGAAATAAATCCATTACAGATTGAAGCAAAATCTATCCACCCTCCACAACAGTTTGCCGAGGTGGACAAATTCAAATTTAACTTCAGCTCACATAGAGCTAAATGCCTAGTCGAAAATATTATTAGGATTTAATTTTAAATAATCTCGTGCCAGTAAGGATGTGGTACGTATTCTCTAACCGGTAGTTTTGTCATCAAATGGCACCATATGATAAACGTTTATGACTCGGGGCCCTTTGAACCGAGTGGTTTTTGCCGCCAAATGGCACCACGAAATACAGGTTATGGCCAGAGCCAATACATTCCTTAATGGCATTAAATCCTTAAGATATGAATCAATAGGATATGATCAATAGGACTCAAAGCCCTTTATTAGCTAAGGTGGATTCAAATTTGTTCACTTAGACAAACATCCATCCTAGATCTACAAGGTACCCTTAGACGAAGCAACCCATGGCTGCCGACAAGGATCCTTCTGCCAGGTTGGGTCGATTACCTCCTCTGACTAAGTAGATAAGGAACCATGATGGCCCGGGACGACGGAACCATGGGATCATGATCGAGTCCATCATCCATTCCCCCACAATCCGCTTTAAGTGTAAGGTGGTGAAATTTCTATGCTAAATATCAAACTTTTTAAATTCCCAACTTCAAACCTAATTCCCTTATCCAAAGCCATTACTGCTACTATATGCCAGATAACACATACTTCTATGTATTTAATTGACAAAGTTTTCTCTCATTACCAGGAGGGGTAATTAACTATAGGGGCTTACGCCTATAGGAAACCAGAAGTCAGATCATAAAGTCCTCGCAAAATGAAGGCGAAATCTCTGTGCAGTGCCTTTTCTACAAACTCATCTGCCTTTCAAAATTTACCCCACCCCGAAACTTAATGCGTTAAAACTTTCCCCTGAATAAAAAAAATAACAGCGAGCGGAGGCCGGGGCCGAATTTTCGAAGCCCACAATGACATACTTAGAGCTCCATCTTATAAAATTAAATATTGTGTGAACCTAAAGATTTTAAAAATAATAGTTAAATAAAATACCATTGGCCCATGAAAGTTTACTCATAAGAATAAACTAAGTCTTCGTTTGGGACAATTTTTCTTAATGCTTTCTAAAGTAGTTTTGCTAGTTCAAAAAAAAAAATTGTACAAAGAAACTTCTTTTAAAAATAGTAAATAAGATGTCTCAAATAAAGTCTAAGTTGATCCAAGCTCACTAGCATGAGATTGGACTTTCTGTGTGATAATAAGGATCAAATCTCAACCATAAGTGCTTGAAGCCTCTAATCATGATCTCCCGACTCCTAATCCTCTAAATACCTATATAATATGAAAGTCATTTCTAGTTACTAAATTCATGTTTAAATAGACTCTAAGTGATTAAGGACCTTATTTAACATTTTGACATTTGAGTTTTACATTTGATCTCAATTGAGCTACTATAATTTTTCCAAGGAATCTTAGGTAGATTGCTACTTCTTACTTTCATAAATTTGTTCTTCCTCAAAAATCTATCACACTGGAAAGATTTTGATAATAAAGTTTATTTTTTTATTTTTAAGCCTCAAATTCATATAGATTAAATTACACAAATATAAAATAATTTTTACATGTTTTTTCTTAAATAATAACACTTTTTAAACTACTAAAAACTCTACTAAATTCAAATAAAGAACCATCCTAGCCGTTATAACTCAAAACATTCATTTACCTTTTTTTATTCCATCTTAATTTCTAACGAGTTCTCAAATACAACCAACTATATATTTATCACTTCATAACCTATATCCTAAAGAACTAAGGTTATCACTATTTAAGACTTTATCTAGGATAACTTTTTTTTTATTTCTAAATCAACTTTTTAACATAAAATTTTTATACTAAAATACTACTTAAAAAAATGATAAAAAAAATATGAACAAATGAAATCTAAATGGTTCTTCGTCCACTTTTTCTCCTCTTTTTGTTCGTAGGAGATTCCCAGTAAAAGTGTTCAGATTTCTTTTAAAAAACAATTTAAAAATTTACTATCTATAGTAATTTTACAAAATAATAAGAAAATCATCCGTAGTTCACAGGAAGTTTAGCAACAATCCACACAAATATAATTCTTACCATAAGAGGACACAATATCTGATTAATATTACAAATTGCACATTTTCAATTTCTCAAGATGCATAATATTACTGTCAAGAAATATAACAAAAGCTGATTTAGAAACACCCCAGGACTTCGAAAGCCAAACAGGTACCAAATAGGCATTTAACACTTGAAATTTCAACATAAGAGAGTACAGGATACTTTGACGGGAAATCTAAAGAACAGAATTGAAAGTACAGCTAGTTAATTATATGCTGCTACCGCAAATATCAGCATATCAATCCTTCAAAAGCAAACAAGATAAAAAATCTTAAAAATTCATACTATCTGGTAAAGAAAAAGCCTGAAGACATGCGACTTAACTGAACTGCAGCCGATTAGTCAACCTCCTCCATCTTGCTCCCCTCTGCATCTTCCTCCAGCGGCGGCATCTCTGAATCACCATCTCCAGGAGCTTCATCCTCGTCAATACTCAGACCAAGCTTCAACATTCTATGGATCCTATTGCCAAAGGTGTTGGGCTCATCCAAGCTGAAGCCAGAGGTGAGCAGGGCAGTCTCAAACAGGAGCAGCACAAGGTCCTTGACAGACTTGTCATTCTTGTCTGCATCAGCTCTTTTCCTTAGTTCCTCCATTATAGGATTCTCAGGGTTGATCTCCATTGTCTTCTTGCTGGACATGTAGCCAGACATGCTCGAGTCCCTAAGAGCCTGAGCCTTCATGATCCTCTCCATGTTGGCTGTCCAACCATACTCGCCGGTGACCAGGACGCAAGGGGAGTCCACCACACGATCAGAGACAACAACCTTCTCCACCTTGTCACCAAGCACATCCTTGATGACGGTACACAGGCCCTGAAACTTCTCCTTTTGAGTTTCCTTCTTCTTCTTCTCATCGTCAGTCTCATCAAGCTTTAATCCCTCTTTTGTAGCCGAGACTAATTTCTTGCCTTCAAACTCCTTTAACTGGCCAACAGCATACTCATCAATCGCATCTACCATGTAGAGTACTTCATAGCCCTTCTTCTTCAGCTTCTCAAGGAATGGGGAATTTTCAACAGCCTTCTTGCTCTCGCCAGTAATGTAATAGATATCATTCTGACCCTCCTTCATCCTTGTCACATAGTCCTTAAGGCTGGTCAACTCATCTCCACTTTTAGTAGAGTGGTACCTAAGCAGTTCAGCAATCTTGGACCTGTTCTGAGAGTCCTCATGGATGCCAAGCTTGAGATTCTTCGAGAAAGCCTCATAGAACTTATCATAATCCTCCTTGTTCTCAGCAATCTCAAAGAACAGCTCAATGCACTTCTTGACAAGATTCTTGCGTATGACCTTAAGGATCTTGTTCTGTTGCAGCGTTTCTCTAGAAATGTTTAAGGGTAAGTCCTCAGAGTCAACAATACCTTTTATAAAGCTCAAGTGCTCAGGGATTAGTTCCTCACAATTGTCCATGATAAAAACACGGCGGACATAAAGCTTAATGTTGTTTTGCTTCTTCCGGGTATCAAAAAGATCAAAAGGTGCTCTCTTGGGGACAAAAAGCACAGCCTTGAACTCAAGTTGGCCTTCTACAGAGAAGTGTTTGACAGCAAGATGTTCCTCCCAGTCATTGGTGAGGCTCTTGTAGAATGCAGCGTACTCTTCCTTAGTGATCTCCTCCGGTTTCCTCATCCATATAGGCTTCTGTTTGTTAACCAGGGACCACTCATGGGAAACTTCCTTGATCTTCTTCTTTTTCTTTTCCTTCTCTTCCTTCTCTTCATCAATGTCCTCAACCTTACCTTCCTCTGAGTCTTTCTTCTCCTCCTCATCCTCATCATCAGAAATTTCTTTCTCAGTGGTCTTCTCAGTCCAAAGAGAGATGGGATAGCTGATAAACTCAGAATGCTTCTTGATCAGGTCTTTAAGGCGGCGCTCTTCAAGGTATTCCAGCTATATTGAAAACAGATCAATTATAAGAGTCTAATGTATTGGTTCATCTACAATAAATGACATGAAAACAAGAAGAACAGCAATATCAGCAAAGATGGTAAGCAGGAAAGCACATCATACAATTGAAAATGCACAACATCCCCACGAAACTTGTCAATGGAGACCGTTATAATGGTCATGTACTAGTACTTGCACAAAATATTTTAATTTCTAAAAAAGCCAACTTCCAAAAGCTGATCTTCAGGGGTGTAAAAAAACCAAAAAATTGAGCAAGCAGTACTACAAGACAAAGTGCAAAATAGAATGAATCCTTCAATCTGAAACAAAAATGCGATGTTCTTTTAACTGTTAAATTGAAAATAAAAAATAACCTATACTCATTTAGGCTTCATTTGGGATGGCTTTCTTACTGTTTCTTAAAGCAACTTATTATTTTTATACTAAAACACTGCTTTAAGAAGCAGTAAAAAAAGTCATCCCATATGAAGCCTTAGGCTTACTACTTCTTAAAGAAGTTTTTTATTTCAAAAATTGAAATTTTAATACTAGAAAGCTGCTTTAAGAAACAATAAGAAAGCCGTCCCAAACGAAGTCTTAATGTTGAATCAGACTTCTTCGGGAATGTTAAATGATTTCCCTTACATATATGCCCACAAAAAAGCAGATTAAATAATTAACGCTAACAGCATCAACAGATCCCTTAATAACACGGACTGGAAAAGGAAGCAAACACAAGAACAATTAACAGATTAATCAAGCGTTATATTAGTTAACAAGAACTAGCAAACTCGAACTGCCTGTCAGCAAATATGCACCGTTAGGTTTTCAGTCAGGATAAAATTGATATCATAAACATGAATCCAAAATCCAATTCGAGCCGACTTATATGACATAATTTTCTACCAATTAACGCACATAAAACTTAATAAATAAATAAAAATGAAAAAATAAAGAGCAGCAAGGTCAGATATGATTGCAAGTCAGGCTTTGGGACGGCTTTCTTATTGCTTCAAATTTTTAAATTTTTGTACTAAAAAAATGTTTTAAGGAGCAGTAAAAAAAGCCATCCAAACGGAGCGTCAATCTACCAGATCAGCCAAAAAAGATCTGGGAATAATTAGATCATGTAGCACTCTAATGCAACAAATAAGGCAACTTCCCTTACCAATCACCATTGGCAAACAGAACAATAAAAACTAGCAATTTTGTTTCAAAAATGGCACTTTTCTAAGAAAAAAGAACATAAATCAATAGTGATTAATCAAGTTTAACTTTTCAATAGCAAAACGTTGATAAGAGATAACCAAAAAAAGCGGATTAAACAGCAATTCCCACATTCTGATGTTCAACATCTACTGATTAGAAGGCCTATCACACCTCACAAATATATATAAATCATGTCAAACTGATCATAGAAAATCAAAAAATTTCAACACCTGTCGCTAAGGCCAACAAGTAACAAAACAATAAACCAATTAATAAATCAATAAATCGATAAACAGTTTTAACAATCACAAGCCTTCCAATACCTGATCCTCCTTGAGGAAAAGTGTGAGCTTGGTCCCACGACCAAGATTCTCACCAGATGTATCCCTCGTTACTGTGAATGACCCTCCAGCCTGCGATTCCCATACATACTGCTCATCATCGTTATGCTTAGTGGTCACCACAACCCTCTCCGCAACCAGATAAGCAGAGTAAAACCCAACACCAAATTGGCCGATCATGCTGACGTCAGCACCGGCAGCCAGCGCTTCCATAAACTCCTTGGTTCCGGACCTTGCGATGGTGCCAAGGTTGTTGACTAGATCAGATTTAGTCATGCCGATACCACTGTCAATGATAGAAAGAGTGTTGTTGGACTTGTCAGGGATAATATGGATGAAGAACTCCGGCTGCGCCTCCAGTTTGCTCTTATCAGTCAAACTCTCGAACCGGATCTTGTCCAGCGCCTGCGATCGATCAACAAATAAAACACTGAATAAGAAATGGACATATCCATACATATGAGCAGGAGAGAAAGGTTAACTTACATCGGAAGCATTACTGATTAGCTCACGAAGGAAGATCTCCTTGTTAGAGTAGAAAGTATTGATGATCAGACTGAGGAGTTGATTGATCTCAGCCTGAAAGGCAAAGGTCTCGCTTTCTGACGCCATGGCTTAAGAGATCTCGACGATGGAGGCAGAGATTGACGATATGCAATTGAGTTAGGGCTAGGGTTTCCAAGATGAGGCATTTTAATAGGGAAGAGGGCAGAGCTTCTAGAGTTTTCTAAAGATCGGCGGTTGTTGATTGGTTGAAAGAAAGGTTTGGGCCAATACAAATGGTACGGATTTGACGCTCATATCTTACATTTTCATTACTGCTAAAATTCTCTTTTCAATTATAATAAAACCATTTTTTAATAAAAATAATAATATATTTTTTATTTAATCCAAATTATGGAGCTTTTTTTATTTCCCAAAAATATCAAGATATTTTTTACCAAAAAATAACTAAAAAATTGTTTCAAATAAAACCTAAAAAGGATAATTTACATTTCTTTCACATTATATAAGAGTGTATAAAAATAATAAAGGAATTTATAAATATTATAATTACAAAAAAAATCAATAGAAATGTTGATTCATAACACAATAATATTTTTGTGTTTTTATTTTATTAATCAAATAAAGTTGAAAATAATTTAAAATTTTTGACAATTGCTTGAATAAATTTTATAAATATTATGCTAGTTTATTTATGTTTACGAATGTTTTAGTATTATGTGCTAAAATATAGTCACAGCAAAAGAAAGATTTATTATTCTAATAATTTATAAAGTGTCCACATAAAAAATGACTAGCAAATAATGCGCAAGTGATAGAGTTTTTAAAGTCAAAATTATAAAAAAAAAAAAATTCATGTGTGGTTCGCCAATTGATATATGAGTATGCATGATTATAGTGATAGAGGGCATTTAGATGAGGATGTCAAGGATAACAACAAGCGATGAATATTAGATGATGATGGTATTACAAGTCAAGTATGTTGACCTCATTTTTAAATAAGATCTAAAAGCCTTTCTCTTGTCATTTTTAATGCTTCGATAATAAATCTTGTTTAGGATCAAGTCTATTTTGGCCCCTTTCATTGTTTAGTTATTAAAAATACTTAAGTGGGGAAAATTTTAGGATATAGTGTAGTAGAATGCATTCATTTCTTGCTCTTGAATTTAATTTTATTACAATTGTTAGTTTCATTATGCAATAGTTGATTCAATAGATATCAGACTAGTGAGCTTAGGTAGGGTTAAGTACCTAAAATCAATCATAGCTTGGTTTTTATTAGACATAATTTTGCCTATTTCTAAGTTATCATGTCTCTATGCTTTTTGACTGTGACTTTAATAATCTCCAAATTTAATATATTATACTATACTTATATTGATTAGAAAATCAAATCAACTAGATTAGATCAAATCATTCTAGTATCATAGGTAGAAACCCAATGACTCAGTCTTGACCAAACTAAGATGGCTTAAACACTTCCTAGACTACTTCCCAAGAGCATCAAAGAGTCTCCAATATCATTCTAAGTCAAGATTCATGTAATATCCATCATGAAAATTTTAGGTAAATATCAATTAATAATTGTTAAATTTTATTTGATTAGCAATTATAACTCCTAGAATATTTAATGGGATTGTAAGTAACCAGGGTTGGGTTGGAGAAGTAAAAAAAAAAATTCAAGATTAAAAAAATTGATGGGTGTTGTGATGTTGGAATTGGCAGTGTCACGACATTTCCAACTGTTGAACTGTAGGTGTCACAATAGATATATTAACTTTCGTGATTTATTAAAACCCTATGATGATTTTGATGACCCCAAACCTTTTGAGTTTGATCCTTAGCTCTTAATTGATTTCATTTGGTCTATTAATTAATAAATCCTAATTCACTTTACATATTAACTTAGGATTTTTACAAAATCATTAAAAAATCAAATTAAATCAGAAAAATATAAACTAAAATATCTTCAACTTCAAATTCCATAAACTTCACAGGAAAAGTAAAATCCTCATTAGAAACTTAAGAAAAAAAAAAGTAAATTTAATAAATTAATACATTAAACATAAAAATAAATTCCCAAAAGACCTCAAAACTCTTGTAATCATCATTAGAGGTCCTTCATGACCTTCGGTGATGATTTCAAGGTGATTGGAGCTGATTTGATTTAAAAATTAAAATTGCCTAATTATTTAAATTATTTAATTTATTTAATTAGGCTGAATTTTTAAAAATCCTAAATAAATAAAAATATTTAATTAATTTCTAATTATTTAATTAATTTAACTAGGCTGAACACATGCTCATAGAATGTCTCAAAGATTCATAGTTGTCAGTACATACAGTTATGGTTGTTGATCTCCATCTAACCTTGTTTGACATTATTTCAATGAACTCGACGTTATTGATAATAGACAACCCACTTATTATGATCTGGGATGATAGCATTATTGATGCAATTTTAAAATAATCTGAAATGTTCATTTATGACTCTTCAAATTCTTTATTTATAACACACTCCATTAATTTCTACTCTCTATTCTCATGCGCCAATTAAATTCAATTAATTATAATTTCCCTTCATATCTTATATGCTTAATTAAAAGGTCTTAATTAATTATAACGTAACAATTAATGACAGATAAAAGTTTGGAGCCAAACATTTAATTCATTACATGTGGTAATTATGATTTAAATATATTTTTTATATCAAATGACATTAATGTTTTAATATTAACGTTAATATTACTTAAGTTAATGATTGTTTAAATTATATTGCATATTAATTTTTGAACATAAAACTTGCATTAAAGCAAGCAGAAGACGAAGGGGTGTGCTCGGTCTATCTTCATTCCATTTATTTTCGTGTGCGGGTTTTTTCATTTATTTATTTGGATTTATGTAACCCTCAATCTGTCAAGACCCTTCGTCTTCCGCACGCATTACTTAGTATTCACTTCCTTTGTATTTCATAGTATTCCATTAGAACCAGCCCACCCCGCAGCCTTCATTCCCAACCCTTGTCCCTCTCACATTTGAAAAAAGGTCGTCACCGGCTCGCTCTCGCCTCGCCTTGCCTCGCCTCCGGCTTTAGTATTGAAAGATCGAGTTGCTAAAGAAGCTTCTTCGACTTCTTCGCGTGCTTTGCCTGAAGAATATCTTACTTCGAAGGCTCTCTGAAGGCTCTTGAAGCTGACATCCAGCATGCCAACTAGCTCCTTGTAAGTCCTCTATCTCATTTTTGGTCCTGCCCACTGTATTTGATTTTCTTTGGTTTCTTATTCCCATATCATTAGAATTCTATGAAACCTTGAACTCTTCGAGAGGAAGCGAAACAAAATGAATTCTTTAGTTAAAACTTTAGAACTATTTTTTTGGTGGTTTAATTTTGCTATTTTTGGTAGTTGTTTTTGTTAGGGATATGAGTTTTACATGGTTCATGTTGTTCATAGAACTTATGGTGGTGCTCAGGGGCGGATGCAGTATGGGGGTTCTGGGGGCACCCCCCACTGACTGTATTATTAATATCAAACTAAATATATTTATGAATCATTATATATATTTAATCAAAATTATTATATATTATTTTCATCCCAACGCGAGAAGTAATTACTCTCTCTCTTTCCAATGTTTTTGTGCTGATAGTTCAGGAGGAGGAGGAAATCCTTCAGTTGGAAACGGGCAAGAAATCGCAAGCATCTACTGGAGGTCTTCTTCTGGTCGTAATTCTTGCTTGGATTACGGCTTGTTGATGCCGATTAAGCCGACCCCAAACTCTTCCATACGTTTGATGTCTGAATCTGGTAGCAGATTTTGACACTAATATCTTTTTACCTTTCATGATTATGATCTTCTGATTTGTTTTTTGAGGGGTCTTATGTTTTTGGAGAAAATTTTTGGCGTATGCAGGGCTTTTGTTTTTGGGTACGGTGAGCAATTTATTCACATTTATTAGTATATTATGATAGAAAATACTGTTTCAGATTTAGTAAATTTGGGATTAAAGTGAAAACTGCTTCAACATTTGCTTACTTTTAGTAAATTGTTTGATTATTCATTTCTGGATCTAAAAAAATTTTAATGTGAGAAAGTTTTTCTTACTTGGAAAAAATTCTGGCTCCGTCCCTGGTGGTGCTTGCCTACTGATGAAACTTTCATATGGTCCTTTGGCTCCAGTCGTCTTCGTCTTTCTTCTGCAATGGATGGACTGTGTCTCGACTTGCATGCTTCCCAGTTATCCACTACTACTTCAAATACTTGTATGCAAGGTTGTTCTTCTGTTTTATTCATTTAATATTGATTCTTTTATTTATTTTCCAAATTTTCAGCAATGATAACAAAATGTTTCTTCGTGGGTTTTGCTGCTTTGCTCTTATTTTGTTTGTTCTGCCTCAAATAATTAATCTCATTACCATTGGATATGCATATTTCACCATCAAAAGTGCCTTTAAAGAAATTGTTGTAAGATAGTAAAATTTTATTATATATGAGATGTTCTTTTGTGAATGAAATAAGATAAATTTGTTATCTCTTTTATTATTTTAGATTAGTATGACATATTTATAATGATATTTTTGAGCTTTTATTCTAAATATGAATTGATTATTTTTATGATAATATTTGTTATATAGAAAAAACATGTATTTTTTAATATGGAATTGTAAAATTATATTAATATATATTTTTCTATTATGATTTTAATAAAAATATGTTACTCTTCATTAAT